ACTTTGATTGACGTCTAAATTTTGCTAATGTCATTTATAATATACAATACTACCCTCCAATATTTAAGCGCTGGTCACTGTGATCAAAAACACACTGACACACATGAGATCATTACACAAAAACCACTATATTGCATTACGGTAAAAGTACGATACCAGGGCGAGGTCAAAGTAACCACACCGAATGTTTTTAGCTGATATTTAATCAATAAAAAATAACTCTTTTAAATGCGTAGTTTGTGAAAAAGAAAATCATAATATCACAGAGCGTGAAAAGATTTTGCATAATTCATGAGTCTCCTGAAATCCTTTGCAGATTACTCTGTCAATAAGTTGGAAAAAACAAAGACAAAGATATCCGTTCCCTCGAATTCCTATAAGGGTATAAATACAATCTTAACATTGTGTGTGACAAGAGTTAGGATGAGGGGTTAAAGGTGAAAGTTTCCACTAAAATCTTGAACCGACCACCACTAAAAACCTGAAAATACAGATTTCAATGAAATAATGACGATTTACTAGTTTTATACAGTGTATATGGAAATAATTGACCATTCGACATGTTTAATAGTATCTATTTTTTCTCCATGATGGCAAAAATAAATAATTTTTGGTGTCATTTTCAACATACATAGGTATCTCTACTGTAATATATAAAAACACTAATTTTTTTAACTTGGCGCGAAACCCCTTAAGCACTTTTTTTCAGCTTTTCCCTATACCATAACATTTACCGAAATAACAATGAAAATTGAAACAGAAATATATATTGACAATTTACAGTTATTGATTTAATTGGGACTATTCTGATGATGGATTTGTTTTAGGCAAATAGGAAAACACTATTCAAGGTTAATGTAGGTGGAAGTTAATTATGCAATGTAATTCGTATAACTATGAGAGTTGGAAAAACCAATCAGAAAAGAATTTAAAAGTGAGTCTAATCAAGTTTAGCGAAAAATGAGCTTTTTAGTTAGAAAAGAAAACTAATCAATTAGTCAATTTAAGACCGAACGTATTCAAAATTACCATTTCATTTTTTTAGTATAATTCGGAGTAGGTGAGAGACAGTGTGCTTGATTTTTCAAATGGGATCGTTTCTAAAAATTGTCAAATCTAAACTAATAATATAAGTGAACTGTTGGATTATTGGAGATCAAATCGTGCATAAATGTAGATGTATCATTAGCTACTTGATGTGCGGTTGTATCCTTAAAAGCTTCAATAGTTTGTGAAAACCTGCCACTTCTCATTTGTATACTCGTCCAGTATTACATTCATTCTAGAGTTTTCATGAACAATATATAGTGTATAAAACAAAAAGTCACTTAATTAAGATAAAGTGTTGTGGAAGGAAAGATACTTTTCTATGAAATAAGCAACTATCAGTATGTTAGAAGTCCCTAGAAAATGTGTCTTAACGATAATGTATGACCAACTTAATCGATATATACTTAAACATAGTTTGAATCATGATCCTTTTGTATTTCTCAATTGTGTCCTTAATAACTATGTGAAATTCCATTTTTTAAACTGGATAAAATCTAACATGATTGTTTATTTAATATATAATATACAATACAATGTTCATTTATCATATTGTTTTTTGATCAGCCATTTATTCATGGCATTTTAGTTTTACAGGGTTGCCATTTATTATAAAAATCGTAAGTCATCTTTTTTTTCAGAAAATGATTATAAGACGAATACGCATATTCTAATGGAGATGTGAAAAAATGTAAATGAAAAGGAAAATATTGGAATAGAAGAGTTTGTGGAGAATGCTAAATTTCCATGGTATACATCATCAGGTATTAATTTTAGTTAAACAATCACTGGAAATCAGGAATTAATAAACAGTTGTTTCGTCCTAGTAACAAACTTCTCAGTTCAGTGCACATTCACGACCTCTACGAAGTTCATGGATTTGAAGTATGTGACGTTGCTGTTGCGCAACATTTTGGAGTCCCATTCGAAAACAAAATGCTATTCAGTACCTCTTTGTTTTCAGAGGTTGTCTAACCAACTTATGTAGTGCTGCATAAATAAGTTTATTTCATATCATAGCATAGTAAAAAATTTGAACTAAAACGAAAGTCATTCCAAGAATCCAAAGTTGAGACAGAAATAAACTCATTACATTCTGTGAAACTATAAATTCAACAAATTACACAACTTCACATACAAAAAATTTTATTTATTTGAGCTCATAAAAAAATTTTGTCGAAATTGACTACCCAAATTTTGTAAACATTTTACCCTGCTTAATTTCACACACACACAGGCTAGCTTTTTTTCATTTTAAGTACATTTTAAGGACTAACACACTTCCGTTCGGAAATATAAACGATAAACACTTGTGATGATAATAATGTTAATACCATAATAATATGTGTTATTAAAACTATATCCTCGAGTAATAATTAAAATGCAACGGATCGCCTAACCGACCGAAAGGATGTATGATTTTAGAAAAACCGAATGACAAAATTGGTAGTTATAAGGCCATTTTTTTCATCGCATTATTCATACAATAATTAGATATTAAGAAGGATAGGATACATTGTCCGTGAATTTGTAGCACTTTTTATCGCACTGCACTATTCTGTCCATTTAGTTAAAGAATACTACAAGTAAGAAAATAATGCTTGCTGATTATCTTATATCATGCGCGAAATTTCATTTTCTTTTCTTTTTCTGTCTGGGAAGTCAGAACGTGTTATATTAACTTATTCGCAAAAGACATATGGAGATAAATTTATATGATTAAAATGAAGTCTTCAGTGGAAATTACACATACATACAGCACTGAAAAACCAAATGAATAGGAAAACGCTTGAAAATGTAAGATGTCTCACTTTTATTGAACGTTGAAAAAGGGATAGTTATCCTCATATATTTACATTGGTATGATTTAGTAAAAAACAATGTATTATATAAGAGGAAACTATGAGGAAATATATATATATATATATATATATATATATATATATATATATATATATATAGCTGCTGAATTCTTGAAATAATTTGTTTACTTCCTCAATAGCATTTGTTATCGAATTCCATCAATGTCGAAAACAACTACATATGGAATCGCTGTTTTTTTTAACAAGCGACTTCTCTGTGATATAGATGCATAACTAATTACACTAATACATTGGTACAGCAACCAGTTCGTAACCATTTGATCAAACCTCAACGGTCTGCATTTTTAAGTTTAGATATTCGGTGGTTGAAAGTAGCGGTAGGTTTCATGTTAGTCGGCACACCTACAATCTTAATAAAATTAATCATTCCTATGGTAGTCGAACACGCATCACTTAATTTCATAGTGGTCGATGCTAACACCACTATATATTCTGTTTTCATTTTAGTGAATAAATAAGCATATTATTGATTGAGAAAGAAATGTTGAAATAAAAACTTGTTTTCCAAGACAAAACAAAACGAAATGTGTGTATATCGTTCGCTCATTATTTCTGCATAAATTAACCATGCATCAAAATATTCCTTTAAAGCAAATAATATTGAAAGAGCATCATTGTAATCAATCTTTTCTAAATATTATGTGATATCGAAGTTAGGTGTTTGTGAACAATAATGAAAATATTATGAATTTATAGATTTAGTTACTATTGATACAGTGTGAGATGCTACTGCTGCACTTTAAATTCTGATTAACCACTACAGTCAAAATGTCTAAACATTTATATTTGCAAATGTAAGCACTGGTCAGAAATTATCAGAAACACGCAACATTCTCACATTTTATATGTACACAAATAAATTTGAATGTATTGAGATAAGGTGAGTATATTTAGGGGAATTGAATGGTTTCGTCCTGTTTTATAATCACTAATCAGCTGACTATATCTGGATACTGGTTTTAATGTCTTTACCGAGATTTAAACTCAATATTATTCACTTCAAATGCTTCAAACACTAAGGCAGTGACTTATTTAATGATTATGAGAGTATTAGTAAGGGTTTGTAATTTTATGTTGTTAATACTCAAGACTATGATAAGTCAGTCTCTGTTATCATATGTGCATCCTGAGCGAATTAATTTGATTTAATGTGACAACACATTTCTTTTACTATTTTTGATAATTTGGTTTGAATTGTATTTCAGAACGAAATTTGTAATGCTTATAGAGACATTGTTCATGTAATAACGATGAATTGGACTATTCAGTGATTTGATCATTTGTACCAAACTTGTAGAAAATCTTTGTTAGCAGAAGGAATCAGGTGGATATCATGAAATCTGATAAGCCGAATAATAAAAACCATGTTCTAGTCGTCTGAAATTTACTGAAGCTATACTGCATCAACCTCAAGTTATGTATTCCGGAAAAACCAGTTGATTTCATAGTGACAGCAATTTCATGACAGTCTTTTAATTTAGAATTTTGTGAATCTTCTTTCTCCTGATAATAATAATAATAAGATTTGAACATACTCATGACAGTATTATCAAATATCTTTTTAGCCTCACTTTAGAGTTACGTGACAAAAATTAACTATCATTAACAAAGAAAATCTTTCTATTAGCAAAATATTTGTTTTAATGAGTAGATTATAACCATTGAAACTCAAGCGCTAATTAACTTATCAATACGTAAATATATATAATAACAAGGACGTTGGTCAACTACTCATAAAGAACTTGAATTCTGGCACATATGTGCATCAGTCCCAGTTGCTACACCGTATCAGCATATCGAGAAAAATGTCATAGTAGTAGTAGTAGTAGTAGTAGTAGTAGTAGTAGTAGTAGTAGTAGTAGTAGTAGTAGTAGTAGTAGTAGTAGTAGTAGTAGTAATAGTAATAGTATCAAAGTTTGTAGAACATATCAATAATAGACAATATGATTAGACAATAATTAATTCGTCAATTAAAACAAAACATGAAACATTCATAAAAATCAAAGGTTTTTTAAGATTTCAATTTAAAAAATTGACCAAACCATGTATTTAAAACGATGAAAAACTTACTTCTTGGCATGGTGACAACTAATTTCTCAGCATTAGATTGTATTATTTTTAATTCTGTCATAATTTCGCTGAACTGTGTATTGATTATGCCCTGATTTGTTAACTGTATTTTCTGATTATTATTATCATTATCATTATTTGATGATGACGATGTTGATAAACGAAACAGATTAAGATATTCACATCGTATAATATGACCATTCATAGGACATGATGATGCATCACTACTTCTGGATCGACGATAACTATCATCGGCATCAAGTAATACATTTGATGTTGAATTACATGATTGTGCAATACAACTAATTTGTAATATATTTTTATCAACCATAATTGTTTTATCGTCTTCTTTCGATGGAATTATTTGAATTTTAGGATAATGGACTGCGTAAAAAAATACACATATACAATAAAAATATAAAATATACAGATAAATAACAAACAGTAAGTTTAAAGGGGAAACTTGTGATTGTGCTCCAACAAAACCATCGAACCTGTAAACATTGAGTTCAATTCTCATGGGATTACTTAAATAGTATCAGTTCGTGATAAAAAATAACTAGAAAATAATTAAATGAGAGATCATAAAACATTACATATGTTTAATAATAATTAACAGTGTTCATAACATGTTATTAATGTGTGACTTGGAACAAAACAAAAGATAAAGATATTTGTCAACCATTTCTATAAACTTGAAGGAATTGATGCTCTCTGTAGAATTTAAACCATCATCACCCAGACTCATAATTTGATATATTAACAGTAATCTGTCCTATAAATCGATAGAATTCTATCATCACCCATTACAACATTAAATATATACATAGTATTAGACTTCTCAAAAGTAAGCATTTACTACAGCACCAGTTATCAAGAGAAAAAACACTAAAGAGTCATGATATAATGAGACAATTATCTGACCCTAACGATGATTACTGATCCATTTCCAAGATATTGTTAAATTCTATCAGTCACAACGGAACATTTCTAATTACTGAACTAAATAGTATATTTTTAAAGATAATATTCGATTTTTCTGAAATCTAATCTTAATTTATTACTTTAGAGCATTTATTGTTATGACTCATTATAACAATATAATGAAAGTTTCTAACATATTGACAGATATGAAAGAAAAAACTATATAACATTGACAATTAAAGCAACACACTAGTTCAGTAGTTCAACGTTACATAAAAAATTCATTTATAGAAATGGTAGAAAACAAAATGACAATTAAATATCTTTTCTTTTTTAATTGTGAAAGTGTGAAATAACATTGGAAACAAAAATACACTTGATTGAAGAAATAGAAAGTGAACTTAACCACCTTTATGCTTCTAAAAAAATTAGTAAAAGATACATTTCTATTCTGTTGAGTATAACGATTCAGTTAAATTTATTGAACACTTAATTGTATCATCAAATCAAAGTATTTATGCAGTATACAGTTTATAGAGTTGAGGATACTGAAGAACCTGGATAGGGGTGTAGCTGTATCAAATGAGTAATAAATTTTATTCGTAGTTACTATCAACTACCCATTACACGTTGAACCAGTGAGAACTTAGTAAACAGTAAATCTTTATCTTTATTCTCAGTGAATTCATAATAGTGTATACTTTTTGCAGATTTTTGAGAACACAAGTAATTCATAAAATGTTGAAAGCTGTTTGTAGAGATTATACTACAAGGATGATATGCAAGAGACCAGAGGAACTATTGACTCCGTCTTAATGTAATCACTGAAAGTATGGGATCACATATGCTTTCCGATCATTAGTTCGTTGTCTAGGTGATATCTGATGAACTGAAGTCGCGCAAAGCGAACTGCGAACACGATCAGAGGGAAATAAAAAAGACAAGAGACTAACTTTTGAGGACTTACAATGATGTTTCGAGAGGTGGAAGCATAGATGAGACGAGTTTATTAACAAGAAATAGCTATGTGCCTTAACTTTTATAAAATGATACTTTTTTGACCTCAGTTCACATATTTATTGTACAGATCAGTATACTTCTCTTTACTTGAACAGTAAATATATCAATTTGAAATCCAATTATACTATTGACATCAAAATAAAATTTATCACACTTTTAAGTAATTACCACCTCAGAATGAATATTACGTCCCAAATATCTGTTAAAGCCAGATCGTAAAAATTTCGAAATGACCAATAGAATTCAATAATCTCAAGTATGAAACAAATACCCGCCCTAAGTAATAGAAGATCGTTGTGCAGTGTCAAAGAGTTGATTGAATTTACAAATATACATTATTCGATACCAGTTCAATGGTCGAAAAGTTAAGCGCTCATTTCGAGATTGAAGTTCCTTGGTCATGGGTGCGCACTCCTGAAGAGTGCCATACTTGGAAAGAACAACTATCTAATCCTTCATAGTTTTCAACAGTTGTTTAATTAGTATTATTAAGTGATGTAAACTACAAATAATTGTCATATTAATATGTTTAACTAGCTGTTGTTAGGTAGGAAATATTGTTTTATTTATTACTTGATCAATTTTTTTTGTCAACAATCAAATATTATGTTTATTCACAGTTAGTTATCATTTTATTACTGACAATGTGTCTACATACCATACTATACAAAATCAACATAATTTACATTAATAGATTCATAAATAAATGTTCACCTTGAGAAATTTAAAAATCACATAAACAATACCAAACATAATTGTTGTTTAAAACATAAATATTCTCGTATAATATCTAGATTATAAAGACTCTTTAGATAAATATAAATAGTATATGATTAATATATGTGATTTATCACTACAGTAAATAATTCATTTCGTTATACACATACAAACACACATCGAGAGAGATGCATTTAGTAGTAGAGTGAATAATTATTTTTTTTTAAACTATTCTGACGTATCAACATGTTAATTAATTAAACAGGATAACACAATTATATGTTTGCTCTGTTTACTGTATTCCGAAATAACACTAATGTATGTCCGTCTATATAGTTTACAGTTATAAATAAAATGTAAACAGTGATTTACTGATTCTTTGTATCATCGAAATAATAAACGTTTCATCATTACACTTTTTATACAATTTAAAAAATAATAATACAGAACTGGAAGTGAACTTCAATGTGATGAAAATCTCTCATTTGTAAAAACTATTTTAATGTTAATATACACATATTGTATGGTATGAAAATATTTATTGAATCTCGATATTGAGAAGTTGAATTCGGGTTGCATCTTAAACTGTGGAAAATTAAATAAGTAGACGATTAAGACGTATATGAAATATAGAACAAGTCTGTATAAAACTTTCTTCAAGTAGACTATAATTATGCAAACGGTAATAACTAGCTTTAAGATAAATCTACAAAATTTCAACTAGAAGTTACTGCTGAAACAGTAGTGAGAAATTCATTACCATGAAGGGATATGCACGTTGTATAGTGAACTAATTGAATTCTAAAATGTAAATCTTTGAATTTCAATTCAGATTGTTCTTGAATCATCAGATGTGAAGGTGCTATGATTCAGACTCAGAGTCATGGACAAGGGTAGTATACTGTTAAAGGGTCATAGCAGAACGAAACGGCCGTTCAGTGTGACTTGAGATTTGTAACTTCATTCCAACATATCATGAGTAGACCACCCTACACAGTACTCAAATATTTATTGAGTATGAAATTCTCCTGTACTATTTTAGCTTTCTGTTAGAATATTACTAATAATAACATCATAACTAATGGTTATTAATAATTACATTATTAGCACTTTATGTGATGATTGAAAATTATAATCTCACCTAATTAAATAGTGAAAGTTTGTCATTATTTTTGTATTATTCACTGAAATTCGTAGCCATTTCGCTACAAATTACGGATCCCTATTATGGCCACAACCCAGTTATTCAACAAACCTTGTAACTAGGCTTTCATGTCAACGCGGTCCGTACAGAGGGCACAAATGTCAACGAAAACTGATTGATATTCATCTCACAATATCAACAATTGGATCATTCAAACACATAGTTAACCATATAAATTGAATATCTTTATGAAAATGCTGGTGAATATGTCATTTTAACTTTTAAACAGTATATTATCTAGATAAATCTCACAATAAGAAAAACTCATAAAGAGAAATTTCATACAACTCTATTTATGGTGACTTATAACTGAATTACATCATATTGAATAAATTAAGTGGTAATGCGAATGTTAAATGTGATAATAAAAGTCTATTTCAATTCACTGAAGTGATGTTAATCCAACTTCATTGCATAAGTTGCCCATCACATCAATTTTTTTAAAATTAAACAAACAGACTTGTATTTAATGATAGATAGATAGATAAGTAGCTAAAGAGTAAACAAAATGTAGGCATTAGACAGAGATGACAGATGAAAATGAACAAGATCCTTTTATTTAAAAAAAGTGATGGTATTGCTAAAAGCAATTTACAGTAAATTAGATCGAGTCTTAAAAAGCTTAAACAGATTTTAAAACATTTGAATACTAAAAATCAAAAAGGTTGGAGAGAAACATTATTGTGGACATTTTGATGTAAAGAATAATTCATGAATAAAAGTCGTTATTTATGTCAACATGTCTTATTTCACTTACTGGTTCGTCGAATATTCACTGAAAAACCCATTGAGTGGTTTTTACAAGCTCATTATAAACAAACGGAACTGAAACAAAGACTGATTGTAAGCAAAGATGGATAGTGGTGTCCTGGATTCCACTGCTATCCACTATCCATCTTTGATTATAAAGCTTGTGAATTAAGGCAATATCGTGGCAATCCGCACATGATGCACATATTCCAACAACAGACTGAACAACTGCAGTCCTAACCAACAATAGGAAGATACAAGCAAACAACATCATATGAATTTAAAGACTGATTGTTATCTAGAATCTGTACATGAAAGGTGAACATTTGAACCGTTTAATATGGTGGTTTTCATTATGTAGTAACCGAATAAATGTATCCTTCCAATTTCGAACATTCTGAGCACTAAATGTAGTTATTTCTATCTTACATTTTTTATAATGAAAAATAGAAGTTATTTGTGGTTGAATTTCGTGCAAATAAATTGAAAATACTGATAAATTGGCTTCCTCGATTCTGATTAGCTCGCTCTCATAAAATACTTCTACTGATATTATTTACGCAGACGGGTTTTCAAAATAGGTTGTTATTGATATTACCGTTTTCTTTCAATAAATCAATTTAAAGAGAGTATACTATTCATGAAAATATAGCACATTAAACTTAGAATTCATCCCTGCTTGATATGACTGGATTATTTATCTCTCATTACAATCACTTGAATAGATGTATATAATAATAATAAATTCTATTAGTTGTGTGAAAGAATC